GCCCGAACGACTCACACCACGACGAGGGCCCCGAACGACTCACACCACGAGGAGCCCGAACGAGTCACACCAGGAGGAGGGGCCCGAACGACTCACACCAGGACGAGGGGCCCGAACAACTCACACCACGAGAAGCCCGAACGACTCACACCAGGACGAAGAGCCCGAACGACTCACACCACGAAGAGCCCGAACGACTCACACCAGGAAGAAGGGCCCGAACGACTCACACCAGGACGAGAAACCCCAAACGACTCAAACCACGAGGAGCGCTTTCTCTCCCTCCTCCTCCGCCTCGTCCTTCTCCCGCTCCCACCACAAGGAGGATGTACAAGGAGGCGGGAGGAAGGAGGAACAGGGGAGATATGCGGGGGCAGGCGGAAACACGCCTGAAAAACACGACTGTCGGCATGCTTCGCAAGAGTTGCTGTTTTCAGATGGGCTGGTGGGGATACGCGAAGCGTAAAGAATTTCAGTATGGATATGAGCGAGTCTAAGTGCGAGTGAGCCTGCATGTGACTGGGTCTGAGTATGAGTGAGTATGAATGCAGAAGAGCGAAGGAGAGCGGAGAGCGAAGGAGAGTGAGGCGGAAGCGTTTGAGAAAAACCGAAATCCTTGGCACATCGAACCTCGATCGTCTGGCCCTGGCTACTCGAGTTGCCCACGTCCTCCTCCTCCTCCTCCTCCTCCTCCTCATCATCATCATCATCATCATCATCATCATCATCATCATCATCATCATCCCCTTTCTGCTTCTGCTCCTACCGTGTTCATGCTGTCCTCCTTCTCCTCCTCCTCCTCCTCCTCGTCCTCTTCCTCCTCCTCCTCGCTTCCTCCTTCTCTGATCTTCCTCCTCCTCCTCCTCATCCTCCTCCTCCTCTTCTTCCTCCTCCTCCTCATCATCATCCTCCTCCTCCTCCTCCTCCTCGCCTGAGACATCCTCCTAAAACTGCTCCGGAAACGACAGATGCCCAGCATCATAACGGCCAAACCGCCTGAGACATCTCCGCAAACTGGGCGCGAACGTCCTCCAAATCTGCTCCGAAAGCGAAACATGTTGGAAGAGAAAATGGCCAAACCGCCTGAGACATCCCCACCATGAAATACCCCCCCGCCGCTCCCCTTAGAGTGCTGAAACCAGCGAATCGCCTGAGACAT